TAACAGGTGCCGGTTCCACCGGTCTATCCTGCAAGAGACCTACGTCGCTTGCAAGGTCTGCCCGCCTCCTGTTGGATTGTTTCGGCCAGATTCAGAAACGACACTGCAGGGAAGCCTGTTTGTTTGCGATGAGGTTGTGAGAGATGAGAAATTGCACCGGCCCAGCCGTCATCACTGCCGGTGACATGTCCGGCTCGATAGCAAGTAAGAGAAGCCTTGAAGCATCTCAGTCTTGGATAATTTTGTTTCCTGCTGGCCGAGCTTGCGCAGCCATGGCCCCGAAGAAGAGCTGCATCCAGTCAAAAACCAAGGCAGTGCAAGAGAAGGCGCTTTCGAAGGAGAAGAAGCTGAAAGTGTTTTGTCTGCAAGCAAGGCGTCTACACTTCAACCTTCCGACCCCCCTTAACTTTAAACATATGATCCCATCAATCAAGCTAATCACATGTCCGAATATTTCTTCGTGAACTGAGGACAAGGCGGAGGAAGCCTTGCGCAAAGAGCAGAAAGCGAATCTTGAAGCGCAAGAGAACAGACTGGTCACGATGAGGCAGGAGCTCGATGCGTGGTTTGCCCTACGGCCGAAAGCACTGGAACACATCCATCGGGGCTTCAGTCGCTGAGAATTTTAGTTCTTCGTTTTTTTGGGTATGTTTGGGAAAGAAAAATAGTACTGTGAAGCTTTAGCGAGCTAGGTTCTTTAAATTCAGTTGAACTTGAGTGAAATGACTGACTGTGATTCATTGTCTTTAGAGCGCACGTGGCATAAAGGTATGGGAAGCTTTGATTCGCTGGACTCCGGCAAGATCGTGGGCGACGACGACTCGTCGGAGCAGAAGCTGAAGCCCTACATGAACAAGTTCCGATTGCTTGGGCAAGAGCAAACGCGACCGCTGCTTTGCAAGATGATTCCCAAAGTGATGTCGTTCTTGGACAAACAGCAGAAGAACTTCAGATGCAAGATAGAGCGTGCTTTCCTGGCGACCCTGCTCGCGTAGCTTGGCTGTGAATCAGTAGTACATGTAAAACAATCTTTCATTCAAATCTTCTTTGCCTCTGCCGAAGCAAGAAAAGTGCAAAACACCTCACTCGCCGTAGGTTCATCACTCACTGCGACGTCAACAGCGCGTTGCCGAGCAAGAGCATGGTCGCGCTTGAGGACTTCATGATGAAGCGCTTCACAGACTACGGCAGCCGGCTAGAAACCTGGGAGCCACGGGGGCCAGAGACGACCTTCCAGGACCTACTCGTTTAACCCGCCTAAGTAAGGCATCCTGCTGCAACATCGTGATTTTCCGCCGCCTGTTCATTGCTCAGCCTCTTAGGCCCAACATGCGGCTGGGGTCGTGAGTCCAAGTCAGTGAAAATTCAAGTTGAATGAATTCGGTTTAACCGTTGCCTTGTTTGTCGGATCGGTTGGCCTTAAATTCACCCAAGCCCAAGAGTCCGCGTTCTCAAGGAGTTCTGTGACGATCCCTCCTGCAGCTACTGGAGGCTGGAGAAGCAGGACGACGGCAAGAGTCAGTTGCGGTACATGCAGACCGACTTGATGTTTAAGCTTCCGCCGGAGATGCAGAACATCGACAACATCAAGGTCATGTGCGCAAGAAACTTCAACACATCCTTGAGTTTCTCAGCTGCAATGTGCGAATCTTTCAGATCAAGTTATCTAAGCACGCGCTTCTCTAGTTCTCTCGTCTATTCAGAACATGTTGAAACCACTTCTTCCAACTCAGTTGTTCGTTGCATAGCAATTCCGTCAGGTGCTGGGTTGGTGGACATCTCGGTGTGCAAGATCCTGAATTCCGACATCAACGAGGGCAAGACCTTGCCCGAGAGCCCGTTCTTTCTGAAGGAGTGCCCGACGGGTTCCTCCCCCGAAGCCGGTTCTGGTGATGGCAAGAAGACGAAATCGTGGCAGGCGAAATCGGAGACTGCGCTTCAACCGGCAGCTGGGAACGGCAAGAACACTCCCCCGCGGACGCCGAAGCGCAAGATCAATTCCAAGTCGTCGCCTAGCAAGAGTCCGAAGACCCTCGCCGGATCGCCCGTCAGCTCGATCAAGTCGCCAGCATCAGGAGGGCGAGGATCGCCAAAGTAAGCTTGACTGAGATTGTTTCAGGGGCAAGAACACAGAAGAAGCATTATTATTTTTAACATAAAAAATGCATCGCTGAAAGTTGGTGTCACATGCTTTTGTGTTCTCGGGTTACCCCTGCTTCTGAGTCTTCCGAGACTGTAGGTCAGAGAGCAGGGAAGTATTTCAAGAGCGCCCCGGCCTGACTCTGCCGAATTCCGCTGCCGCTGTTTCTGAAGGCAAGAAATTTTAATCGAGTCCTCGGCCGCTGAACCTGGCAAGTTTTGGCGATCAACCGCCTTGCCGGGCCGTTTGCGATAAAACGCTGCCTTAGTCACTGGCCGCAGAAGTCGCAAGAGAGAAAACGGGTTGCCAGAGCAACAAGCCTTTTGACGCACCTCATTTGTGATTTTACATTCCCGCCCGCCAGGATTCTGCACTTCCTGGACCTGCACTGAACGACTGTCGGGCCCTGGCAAGAATTTTTGCTAATGAGCCAGAGTAACGCAAGAAACTCCGTATTTTTGGAAAGACATTCGCAGGAAATCCCTGCAAGATGCAGAGAAAAAGGCGTGGCAAATCATCATCATTTCATCTCGCTGACATATAAACTTCACAGACTATCCGGGGTGTAGTGTCGTAAATTCTTATTGAAGCTTTTAATATACTTGGGAATTTTAACAACATATCAGAACTTTATCTTGTAACCGAACAACCCACGAACCCCTCACGAACCCCCAAAACGTTCGCAGAAGTTCGCCGAAGGGTTTTTGAAAAAACGAACTTCGTCGAAGGGTCAACCTTTGCCTGACAGACCGTTGCCCCCTTCTGCGTTCCCCTCAATAATAGTATATGTGTGAATGTGCGGCCATGCTTCCGGTAAAAGAAAATTAGTGTCTGTTTGAAACCATAAACCTCTAAAGGGGTAGCTCTAACAGGTACCTACAGCAATGGCTGCATGCTCATACATATACATTCCGCTGCCCATTGGCTCACAGTGGTTTTACCATATTGAGACAAGACAAGCTCTCCTTGCGTAGCAAGACAAAACAACTACTGTCCGTGTGCAGGGCGCTGCCCTTTGATCCTTAGGGAATAACTGGTCATACACCTCCTCACAAGGAGTATTCCTTGGGGGTGTATCGGCACAGGGGGAGGCCTGGGAGGGGGGGGGGGGAGGCCGACAAATCAGGTCGCAAACGAACGCCTGGGCCTGTGGCCTCGGCGGATTCGCCGTTTTTCGTGTGCTTGAGGAGTTACAGGATGTGGGCATTCTCTGGGAAGGGGGGGATGAGCCAACCATCGTCTATTTGCACCAGAAATGGGGGGTGGGGGGCTACGCCCCTCCCAAACCCCGCTTTCTAAAAGCCGAGAATGCTTGCTTCACAGAGCAGCAAACGAGCTTGCTTCGACGCCATTGAAACAAGCAGTGGTTCCTGTGACCTTCAGACTTGTCTGAAGCTTCACCTTATTCCGCACCCGACAGTTGCACTTTACATGCAGCAGCAAACTTGAAATTCTGACTGAGTCCTGTAAGTTCCGTGCTTGGGCCACGGCCTATACAACAGTTGCAAGTGCTTTGATTCACAGTATGCCATGTGCTTGAGCACTTACAAAAGCTGTAAATTACAAATATGCACAACATTTCATTTGTTACCTACAAGCACCAAAGGGCTAAGCCATACCTTTTAAACAAAAGAGGCTCGAGTCACGCCTAAACAGAAACCTCCCGCCTGGGGGGGGTTTCTTGATATTGACAGCTCGCCTGATGGCGGTTCGCTGCGAATCTTGCTTACTTCAGTGGATCTTAGGCCGAGAGAACCCACAAGGCAGCCCCACACCAGCACTAGTAATCCATGATACCTGGGTTAGGGTCCATGAGCCTTTCTTTGAGCTCCCGGCCCGATGCAGTTGAGGCTTGGGGACTCCGGATGAGCTTGCGCTCTCGGAATTTCCGAAAACCTGCGCAGGCCGGCGGGTTTAATGGGTAGGCCATGTAGGCCTTGAGGCAGAAACTTTTTGGTTTCCTGCTCACTATGCAACGTCCATGCTCCACTCTGAAGTGCACACGCCCTGACCTGTGCTCTTGTTGTTCCTTCCAGGGTCGTGCTAATGCCTGTGCCTAGGTCGCATCCCCCTCAGCGGCCCCTACGAGATCGCTTCGAAGCGCGTGGTGCAAGCATCGCAGGGCTGCATCATTGACGCGAGGCCCGGTACTAGGCTAATGCTGAGCGCACCGCTGCAATTCCTGGGCGACGTCCACTTGACCGGAAGCCTTGAGGTGCTTGGCTTCAAAGTCCGCACTCGTTTGTAGCCTCAGGAAAATGTGCTAGTGAGACCGTGCAACTCGAGGTTCTGGCCCAGGCAGACATGGGTGACGACAGCTGCTTTAACGTCGTCAAGGGCAGCCTCACACTCACGATGGAGCTGCTCCGAATGCGCGGTTGCCGCTCGTTTGGCAATGGTGGAGCTCTGAGGACCACGGGAGACCTGAGTGTTGCGGGAGGAAAGTTGGAGTTCGAGGACTGCCATGCGAAGCGAGGTGGGGCCGTCTTTGTCAAGGGCAGCGCGACACTGACCTCCGGAGCGGCTTCTTTCACATACTGCACAGCATCTGCAATTATCAGAGGCTTGAAGAACAAGAAGAAGCTCCAGCACTACTTTCTGAGCTGGAGTCAGAAGAATTCCTCCGGCATCAATTCTGGGAGGCCTTGCGGTTCAAGGGTCCCTGCTGGTGCAAGATGCTGAGATAGAGTTCAATGGCTGCGCCGCAACTGATTTCGGCGGAGCTCTCAATGCAGCCCGAAGCAAGTTAATTAAAAGACCTGTTTCTGTCAGCCGGAGCTTGAGGTCTAAGTGACGCATGTGTAGGTTCGGTGTGAGTGCAGCCCAGGTGGAGGGAGGATATCGCCAGAAAGGAGGGTCCATGCACGTCAGTGCGTGCACAAGCGGACTTGGAGGGGGTGGCATGCACGTCACTGGGGCTAGCAAGCATTTGCACAGCAGCCGTGTTTCGTGCAGTGTCGGTTTGGGGATATGAAATTAGTGTGAAGTGTAGCTTGCCTCATGCCCTTGTAGGTCGGTCGGAGCTTCTACATGGATGGTGGAACCATGCGCTTCGAAGATTGTGCGAGTAGATGGAAGGGCGGGGGCCTTTCCCTCCAGTCCTCTCGCTGCAGCACCAGCTCTTGTAGCATCACCCAAGCGAGCTTGGCCTTCCGCTCCTGTTCGTCCAGCTTCGGGGGAGGCTTGCATGTGAATGGCGCACTGGGCTTGATGCAGTCCAATGCGAGCTTCCTCAACTGCAGTGCCCAAAAAGAAGGAGGAGGGGTGTATGTGCACAAAAGGTCTGAGCTCACAGCGCAAGCTGGCAGTCTTACATTCAAGCAATGCGAAGCCAGCAAGTACGGCGGTGGACTTCATCATGAAACCGATGCAAAGGTCAGGCTCGACAAGATTGATGTCATTTTTGACAAGTGCACTGCTGGCAAAGCTGGAGGTGGCTGGGACGGCACGGGAACGCTGACCCACAGCCGCGGCCGAATGGAGTTTCAGTCCTGCAAAGCCTTCCGAGGCATAGCCTTTGACACCACGCTAGGTGCTGATCTTGACCACGTCAAGATTGAGATGTGCATTGGTGTGGTTGGAGACATCTTAAGTTCCAAGGGCACAGTGGCAATTCAGCATTTGACGTTCTTGTATGGTGGACCCTCTTCTGGCTTCCATGGCGAGGTGATGGCGCAGAATATTTCCATATCAGAAGTGGACTGCGTGGCAGTTCACGAGTGCGTGCTGCATGCTAATACCATACAGGTGCCCACTCTTGTTTGCCCCCCTGGGCGGGAGGTAAGGTCCTTGCGAAGGCTCACGACAGAGCTTTCGTGCAGACTGTGTGAGCCTGGGTGTCCTAGCTGAGTTTCACTGCCTTGGTAATTTGATGGGCTGTGGCACATTTTTGTGGATGCCATGTTCCATTGAGAAAGTCTACAGACAGAGCTAAGGTCATTCCAGCCGCTGCCATGGCGGAACCCACGTTGTTTGCCCTGTCCAGAGGCGGCGCTTACGTGTGACGCTGCGTCTGTGACGATGCAGGTCGCGGACGGACCAAAGCTGGAAGACCTGAAACCATAAAGCACCGCTATCACTGTGGACATTGTCACGCTTTTGTGATTGTTGCTGCAGCCTGGCCGCGTACGGTATCTCACGCACCGCACGCCCTGAAACTTCGCAGGCGGGCTACATGCTCACCGTCCCGAACCTGTCTTCTGTCGCCAACTTCCGGGAACTTGATGCGGTCAACCGCACCTACTTCTGCCCAAACGAAGCGACCTGTCCAGGACGAGAATAGTGACACGATCGTGACAAGTATAATAAGAATGTATCTGCAATGTAACACTTGTGCAAAAGTGCCCTGCGCCTGAGTTTTTGGAATTTCCGAGGGCCAAAGTCAGCGAGTCTTGGGGTCGAAGGTGCCTGGTGTTGCTTGAACGGTGGGTCGGGAGAGGGAGTTGAACATATTGATGCTTGTTGCATGTAGGGGGGATTCTTGCATGTAGGCGGCTCTGGTTCTTAATGAATCAACCGGAATGTGTTGTAGACAGCTGCCGCCACAACAATGCTTTCCGTGCAGTTTAGAGTTTAGTAGCTGACGTCTCTGAGCGTGCAGGAGGACGCCTGGCCTACGAGAATCAGACAGCGATGTGTTCCCTTGGGGCCACCGGACCCTCATGTTAAGAGCCTGGCTACGTACCTCGTTTTGGCGGCGACCCGTTCCTCAAGGTCAAATGTCCCACTTCTGCCTGGGCTTGGTTTACAGGTGCCAGCTACGTTTCTGGCGGCCCTTGCACAGGCTGACTGGTTTGCAGGGCAGGCCGCCTTTCTCCGAGACCTTCTCCTTGGTTGGGGTATTGCGATTGATGTATTCAGTGGCCAAAGCGCCGTAGGCACACCCATGCCTTGCATTACAATGGCCGTGTTTGGTTATACTCCACATGTCACGTTCTTTTGGGCCAATCTCGCTCTAGTCGTCACCACTCCGCTGCTGCTGGTGTTCATGCTGGGATGCATGAAGGGATTTTGGCTCGGCCTCATCGTCGGGATGAACTGTTTCCTCCCCGCAGTTGTTGCACGAGTTAGCTTGCTTCTTCTTGTCTTCAGACCAGCAAGATGCGATCCTCTTCAATTCTATTACCAAATTCCTGATGGACAGTTTTGGGGCTACCTGCTCAAACCTGTCGCGGTGCTAGCCGTTTGCTTCACTGGTGCCACCTGCTTGTGGCTCAGGGCAGTGCGCTCAGACCAGAAGCCTGCCCTTCATGTTCTCTACCTAGCAGCACCCTACAAGCCAGAGTTTGCGGCATGGGAAGTGGAGCGGTTGATCCGCAAGATGACTTTGGGCATGCTTTCCGCGGTATTCCCTGTCACCCTTCACCCACTGTTTCAGCTGGAATCTGTGGCATTGGTCTTGATTCTGTCAGCAGCACTGTACTACAAGTCGCGGCCCTATACCCAGGAAAAGTTCAACGAAACAGAGATTGGACTGCTTGGGGCAGCAATCACGATGACCGTGTTCACTGTAATGTGTGTGGTGCCCACTAAAAGTTGGGCAACGTCTATTCCAGGTCTTAAGCTCGCAGGAGGTGTGGCTGCTGTCGTAGTGGTGATGGGTGGCACGGCATGGATGGCCATGTCAATTTGTGCTGCAATTATCGAGGAGCGCAGGAAGGAGTATGTGGAGGAGTAGCTTCGCGCAGGTAGATTGGCAGCACATGTTGAGCCAGTAAACAAAGGTCCGGCCAGGGCAGCTTTTCAGTGCTTTGTGCTGTAATGTGTGTTTCTGCTGCAGGGCTGTGCGGTTTCAGGCAGATCTTCTCAAGGACCATCTCGTGCGCATCTGCCAGGAGTCCTTCGCACGTGCACTGGTTCCCGGCATCAAGGCATGTTGGGCCAGGAGAAGGGTTCAGGGTGCTTTCTGGTCTATGGGGTACCTTATTTTGGAGTCCTTATAATAAGGATCCTACTAGTTTTATAGTTCTTATGGCCTAATCCCGGTGACTGAGAATAATGGGAACGAAAAAGATGAACGCAAAAGTCAACGGCTTGAGAACAAGGCAGTGATTTTGATTCTTCTAGTGTTCAGTGATTTCATTGGAGCATGGAAAATTTCGAATTCACCTCGCTAAAAGTTTTCGGCATCAAGGCTGGGGACCAGAGCTTAAGGTCGGTTTACGGTTCAGGGTTTAGGGTTTAGGGTTGGGACTTCCCGGTTTTCAGCTTACCCCGTGGCGAAGAGGATTTCGATCTGACCGGTAGCCGTAGCTGAACGCATGCCGTGTTTCTTGCAGACAACCCTAGTGCCTTAGCGGAAATCAATCTATTCAGTCTTTTTCTTGGCAAAGCTCTGCTATAACCCTGTGCACCACCCCTACACCCCAAACCCTGGACCCTAAACCCTGAACCCCAAACCACAAACCCTAGACCTCAAACCCTGAAACCCAAACCCCGAACCCTAAACCCCAAACCCTGCGACGTCAATAAATAAATAAATAGAAAAACTGTCAGTTTCAAGCTCAACAAATCCACCTAGAGGACAGCCAGCCCCTCCCCCCCACCCCCAGCCCACACCTATAGCCCGCAACCCCCAGCAAAGCAGTTGCCTTCCGGTCAGAAAGAAACCCCAGCCGCCCAACCGCAGACCAGCAACCCCCAGCTCACCTCATACCCCCTGCTCCACACCCCCCAGCCGCCCACACCTGAAAAACAAGTCTAAGCAAAACTTTCCCCAACCCCCACGCCCCAGCCCCAGCCCCCAGCCCAGGCAGCCCAGCCCCAGATCCCAGCCAAAACTTCCGCCCAACAACCAGCCCAGCCCAGGACCCGATTCCAAAAATCAGGCTTCAGTAAGAAAACCTATTGGCACCCAAACCCTTAATAATTTCAGTAATCCCTGAACCCTAAACCCTCTACCCTCTATTCGAAGCCCTCTGCTTTCCCCCGGACACTTCCTTGACCCTTGGTTCGAATGAACCCCGAGCCCCGAGACCCACAACCCATCACCCTAAGCCCCAACACCCTAAAAGCCTTACTAATCCCTAAAAGCCGTAAATCCTAAACCTTAAGAAACCCTACTAAACTAAACCCTAAAAAACAGCGGAAGGTCGAGATTCAGGGTCTCCAGTCCTCTCCGGAGCTCAACGGCAAGACAGGTGCGCTGCGGAAACCACGATTTAGGTTTTAGTGTTCAGGGGTTTAGGGTTTGGGGAGCCTTAGGGCCTCACGGCGACGGTAGATTTGGGGATCCTGGTACTACATGCCCTACTTCACTCCTGTTTTTCCGGGTCCTCCGTCTTAAACCGGGTCCGGTACAATGGCGTCCCTAACATGTTGCTGTGCATACTTGGGTTTTCATGGCTAGTCGGCTAGTCATAAGTGGTATTATAAGTCCCTCCATTGGGGTTCTAATCATGATTTTATTATACTATACTTATAACCCCACATATAACTGCCCATGAACCTTCCAGTAACATCTTCGACCCACTTTGGATCTGGGGGTCGCATGTGTAGGCTGTAGAGTCGCGGGCTCTGGGCACCTTGGGGAGGGGTTCAGGGTTTATAGGGTTTAGGGTTTATAGGGTTTGGGGTTTATTCTTGCCTCCCTTGCGTCTGTGAGGTACGATCATGACCGTGGCGAATGAGCGTGGCCGCTGGGAAGTGGAAGTGAAGAAGGGGAGTGCCCCTTGGTGCGCACTGGGTTGTTTCAGAAGCCCTCCGGGGCTGAAAGGTAGATGTCGCGTCTACTTGGAGGTTCATGGGTAGTTATAAGCGGGTTATAAGTAGAGTAGCCACTATAACCCCACTTCTAGCTACCCATGAACCTCCAAGTAGCGATCAGGTTCTGCGACCCGCTTCCTTTAACATGTCACCCACACACACACACAGACTAACGCCTCCCCTCAGCCAACGATATGATAGAGGTCGCTGACTCTAAGCCCGAAGCTATAAGACTCTAAACCCCACTAACAGCAACACAAAACGGAAAATCGCGCTCAAACAAGAAACAAAACCCTAAACTCTCTGATGCGTAGTAGGTGCCTGAGTAACACCCTTTTCCCCTTTCCTTCTTCGTTCCCTTAGCAAGACAGAATAGCAGGAAAAGAGTACCCTTGTCATGAAGGGCTTACTCGGGAACCTTGCCTACTTGGAGGTTCATGGGTAGTTTTAAGTGGGGATACAAGTCCCTTAATACATGAGTTGTTATTATTGTTACCCTACTTTAAACTCCCACTTACAACTACCCATGAACCTCCAAGTAGGCCCTAAACCCTATACTCCTATAGACTCCCTATAGACCCCTTGAAAGGGACCATTTAAAGGAACCCTTGTAACTACCCATGACCCCTCCAAGTAGCACCGAGTCGCCTCTTCCAGGATGCTCGAAGATTGGCCCTGAAGCTGGCGAACTTATCGCTGGTTCAGGCGGCTTTAGGGTTTAAGATTTAGGGGCTTCTGCTTATTGGTTTAGGGTCTATAGGGTTTTGGGTTTAGGGTGGCTTCTGCTTATTGGCCGTAAACTCAACTTTTAAACTTTTTGGGGTTCTTATAAGGTAGTCGATTCTGAAAGTTTAAACTTTTATTTCCTTGGGTTTTGTGTAGCCATGCCAGGAGTCTGGCGTTCAAGGATTTACGAAGTTGCATGAGACTTATGCTTTGGGGTTACTCACTAGGATGCCCAGTAGTACCCTAGTTCCCTTTTTGTAGTCTAGTACTTATTCCCTTTTTGTAGTCCTAGGTTCCTTACACAGTTACCCAATTTCAACAAGGGAGCCCTTTTTATTCCTATCCTAGCATCAGAGGGGTTCCGAAAGTTGCGGGGTACCTTTAGAGGGATCTACAAGGGTACCTTTAAAGGGATCTACAAGCCAGTTCCGGGCTTCCCACAGGATTTAAGGTTTGCGTGTTCGAGGTTGATTGTTTCGGATTTTGGGATGAGGATTTAGGGTTTAGGGGGTTTAGGGGGTTTAGGGGGTTTAGGGTTTGTATAGTATTGTTGAGTTCAGGGTGTGGGTGTTGGGGTTTTGCGCTTTGGGTTTAAGATCTTGGGCATGGAGTTTATACAGAGCTTGGGGCTTGGGCGGGGTTTCTGGGGCTTCGGGTTTAGGTCTTTGTTTTGGGTTCAGCGTTTGGGCTACACGCGCTTAATTAAGGGGGTTGCCTTAAAGCCGAAACCCTAGACCCCAAGCCCTGCACCCTGAACCCTAAACCCGGAACCCTAAGCCCTAAACCCTAAACCCCCAAACTCCTTCTGACTGTGGTTGAGACACTGCAGGTGGAAAAAGGGGCTGAAAAAAACAAAAAACCCAAACTCCTCAACCCCCAAACCCCTCAGCCCCTAAACCACTCAGCCAAAGCCTCCACGCCCCCACAGGTGACCAAGGAGCCAGCCGAGGGCTCACCGGAGTCGCCTCTTTGCCGCATCTTTCCTTGGGTTTAGGGTTTAGGGTTTAGGGTTGGGGCCTGTGGGATGGGGCTTAGCTTCTGGGTTCGAAATGGTTCACGGTTTCGGGATTCTGGTGGGTTTTGTTTTGGATTTTGGGCGGGCCGAGATTTGAGGGCTTCGGGGTTCAGAGGGCTTTCTTAGTACTGATGTACTGTAGGCAGTTGTGAATGCGCTCTAGCCGCCTTCGCCGTCGAAAAGAAGCTCCGGTGCCGGTCCGAGCAAGGCAGCAGGCCTTGGC